CTGTGAGATTTCGCTAAACTAAGTGTCTTGAAATGCTCTCAAGTGTTCCTTAACATAGTTTCAATGCAAAAAACCCGAAAATTTTTTGGGCCAGGAAAGGGTCTTATCCGCCCTCATCCTTTCTCTTGTGTCGGAAAAAAACGATGGGTAAAATGAGTAAGGCTTCTATTGATAGGTTCAACTGTTCTTTGGCCCAACAAAGTACTGATAGCGTAAAAAAAATGAAACTAAGGTTCTTTTAATCAAATATGCATCAAGCTCATATCTTAAGCCTGAGATAGGTATGTTTTAGTCTATTTTTAACGTCTCTGTTTATAACATTTACATTGCAAATAAAAACACCAAAAACCCTACGAACCGGGTCATTTCACATTTAAGTTTTTTCCTTTCCCTTGTATTCGTCTCTCTATCTATCTACACACATATATATGTTCGCGTGTGTTCTCTTGCTCTGTACTCTTGCTTTTCGTCTCTTTGATCTATCGTTTTCTATCTGTACGTGGTTAAGTTTTTCCCAATAAAATCGAACTCATGTTCACCCCAGCTTACAGCTAAAATACAACAAACGATTCTTTTCTTCTTTCTTTCTTAATTCTTCACGAAGAGAACAAGCAAAAAGTGCATGTGAGTCAGACGGAAGAAAAAAAATACAGTTACTATCCAACTCAAAAATAAATAAACAATTGTGAAAAAGTAAAATTTCATTGGGCAAAAACTTACTAACAAAAATTACAATGGACAATTGCCCATTTTTTCTTCCCGTGGTTATGTCGCTGACCATGACTATCGTCATCTATATCATCATTGTGGTCACTTGTATCACATGTTGCAGATAGACAGACAGAGGTAAATTTCCATTTCTAGGCTCTATTCTTTCAATCTAGGGAAAATTTTATGCAAAAAGATGTCTCATTTATTTGATTTCTTCGTCTAAAATTTTTTAACTTACCGTAATCGAACGATTACATGTAAGAGAATTGATACAAACATGATTTTTATGAAAACTTATGAGAAGATTTTATGAATGATTAACAGAGATGGACTTTTTTTGGATGGCTTTCTTGTAATTATGCAAAATATTATCATCTAATCGTCTGATTCCGGTAATGAATTTATGCATTAGAATGATCCAGCATGTTATAGTCTATATAAAACATACACGTTTTACCTCTCATTCATATATTTACGTAGTAAACTATAAGAGTGGCAAAATTGAATATTTTTTATTGATTCTGTCTTTTTTTTGTAGCCAAAAGAGAGAGAAAAGAGGAACTGGCATAAATACGCTTCATTTGTCTCATCAATTTCAGCATGCCAAAACACGTAATATTTTATATTGTATTGATATATATATATATTGTAGACAGTTGACTGAAAAAGATGTCGGTTGAATCCTTCGCTAACTATTAAATGTATTTTTTTATTTCTATTAATTATTATTCACAAAAAAAATAAAATAATAATACTTAGGACGTACCAAATGTAGTGGCACCATGATCCTATTTCAGTATAGAAAGCTTGAAAAAATATCTTTTTTACGTAGTGAGAAAGAAAACGATGCTCTATTTTCCTATGCAATTTCATCGCTATTCAACTAATTTCATAATTATACAATTTCGACAAAGAGCTGCTTTGGCATTATGTGTGACAATTATATGAATGCTCATATTTTTTGAATAACTTTTGATAGCAACAAGATACACAACTGCGATTTTCACCGTTGGAAAGAGAAGATGAAGACGCATCAAAATGTATATTGCAGATTTTCCTGTCTTCTTTTTTTCTAAGGTCTTCAATTAACCATTTAAAGAACAAATCCATCCTGTGAGCTGTTTGTAGTGAATTGTCAATCATCAGGTTTACACTCAAACTAGTAATCGAAGATCTACAAACTGTTTTAAAGACTCAGATCTGTCAATTTAATTATTCAGGGATAATATGTATTCTAGTCGAACCTCTAATACGATTTTCTAGCAAATTTTTTACTTTTTTTTTTTTTTTCATTAAAAAAAGGCACTTTTCCAACGGTTAGAAATGCGCCTTCATCCCCTCTTTCCAACTGTGAAAACCGCAGCTCTGTATCTTGTTTTTATCAAAAGTTATTCAAAAAATGCTCACAAGTATTCATGCTACCATTACACATACGAACGAACCAGATCTTATCGAAATTTTATTTTTATGATATTAGTTGAATAGTGGTTAAATAGCATTGAAAATAGAGCATCCTTTTCTGTATCACTACGTAAAAAAAATTTTTTTTTCAAGCTTTGCCTACGGAAATAAGATAATGACGTCACTACTTATGATGTGCCCTACGTACAATTACAAAAAAAAAAAAATTTCCATCATTTTATGAAATGCGAATCATTGAAAAACACGAACCAAATATTATCGCGCAATAGGATCAACAAACGTACTTTCATCACATAGAATAAAATAATCATGATAATGTATTTTCTTAAGTCTTATTATATCAAAATTATAATGCCCAATCAGTCCATGAGTACCAAAAAAATGTGAATTTTCTAAATGAAAACCAGCATTATTGATATCTTCATTTAATAGAGCAGAAAAACAATTCAATGAAACACATATCATATAAATAACAGATCTAAGATTTTGGGGAAAGAAAAGCAATCGTAGTCATAAAACGCATTTAGAAGTCCATTAGGAATGGTATTAGCTTATTTCCGTACGTTCTCTATTGAGAAAAAGATGAACAGTATTTCAGAAGGGAAAGACAATCTCCCACGTGCCCCTCCTCCCCCCTCCCCGACTCTGAATTTGTTACTGTCATCTTAGATCAGATCTTTGATTTTGTTTGGCCAATTTATTAGACTATTATTATTTGTGAAACAATATTTATTTTTGTTTTCGTTTTTCAAACAATTGAATTTATCTTTGACGTCAGGTTAAAAGGCCAACCAAATCAATTCATTATAATTATCATGTTGATACAATTACTGTCATATATATATATAGATCTAATTTAGTTGTAAATGATGAACTGTTTAACATTGTTCAGCTTGTTGATACAAATACACCTATCATGTTCATATTTAACTCAACAAGATTTTGACCTTGCACCTCGACATCCCACATATACGAACTAGTCATCTCTGTATATATATGTTCTATTACGTTGTTAAAATAAGATAATATTTATCTACCTACTTGAATCAACGAGGCGGCCTTTTTTTGTTGTTAGTCATTACCCTTTGTACAGCCATTTATTCGTTCGTTTCGTTGTTTTTACTTGTTTCTTTTCCATGCATACTGATTTGCGCGTCAATTCAATTGCCAAAGTATGTTTTTCAACAGCATATCACTATATTCAATATCTTTTATTGGTATTATATTAATTATTATTGTTTTAAGTCTTTCAAATACCCGGGTTATGTTTGCAAATCAATTACATACTAAACGAAAGAAACGTTATTCAATAAATAATGATACAAATGATTTGAAAAATTCATATATGACAATTCAAATGAATCCATTTTCAAATTTAGATAGCATAAAATACATTCGAAATGGAATACCAATACCATTAGAAGATGATGAAGAATTAATGAAATCCGAAATCTCATTAAAATTTTATGAAAATGATGCAATTGAATTACGTTTAGAACAAGATTTCGATTCTGACAACGATACAAATGATGAAAATGACAATTAAAAGTATTTCAGAGCCTTTTTCTTTTATTTCTTAAATAAAAGTGTTTATATAAAAAAATACTAGTAATAAATTATTAACAATCTCTTTATTCATCTTTGTCATGTTTATGTTCAAATTCATTCAATGTTTCAATTGGATTATCTTTCAGTTGAATACTTTCAATTGATTCATCGTCATTATTTGTTATTTCACGTGATCGAATAAGCTCTGTTTCATAACGCATTAATTGTAATAAAAATCCTTCATTTGGCCATATTTGTGGACGTTTTTCAATAAGAAAAAAAAATGCTTCTTTTAATGTATTATGATGATATTTCATTAAATAAGCAAGAACAATTGTTGCCGAACGAGATACACCTAAAAGAAAAAAAATGTCAACTTAAATTTTCAAATAAATTTTTATTTCTACCAGCAGCACAGTGTACTAAACATCGTTCTTTTTTTTCATAAAATCCATGTAATAATTCATTTGTTCGATCAAAATGCTAAAATATGAAAATTTATATTTACTTTTCGCATTTAAAAAATCAGTATATAGATTATATACTTGTTTTATATTTGTTCGAGGTTCGTCAGGCATTGGAATATGAACAACATTGAAATTATCGTGAATTGTTTGTCCTAATCTTAAATCACATACATTTATTATATTTTCTAAAAAATAAAATGAAAATTTCTTAATCAAATTTAATAAACAAAGAAAATTTCATACTAATGTTAAATCGTTCCAGTAAATCATGATTAGTAGCATGTTGAATATTTCCCAAAAAAAGAAAATCATCAAGTACAATTGACGGTTCAGCAGTTCGACCAAATCGATAAAATTTATCAAATGCTGCACTACGTTCAAGTTCAAAAGTTCGCATTCGTTCACGTTCTTCATCTGTCATATTTAATGAAGAGTCTTCATCTGTTAAAGATTTTGCATTGAAGAGTGTTAACATCTTTTTAATTATTAAAAGAATAATAATAAGTATAATCTAAAATTCGTCATATTAGAATAGAATTAAAACATCAAAGGAATTATCAGTATTTCCTAGAATGAAAAGATCGGGTCTCGACATGAGAATTTATCTGTCTATCTGTAACTTACATGTTGTATAATAACTATTAGAGGTATAGGCAGATGCATTGATCGATGGCAGCGCCTGAAATTTTTCGATGAGTTTCTTAAAAATATTGTTACGTTCGAGAAATTTTGAATTTAAAAGGGAACAAAACAAAAAATTAGCCAAGAAGTAGTACCTCAAGACCCACCATAAAAAGTCCGTAAGACTCTGTGTTTCACTACATACAACTGTATTTTGTTGTATTTGATGACTCAATATTAAGAACATATTTCTCCATATCGTATGCAGAGAAATATGATAGCTTACAATGAAATACTAAGTAAAGCGGGATTCATATTCGAACTCCAAAAGTGATCGTATTTCTTCGTCTGTGAAAACTGAGCAATACAATTGTAATACTGCATCATGTAATATATCAAAATAAGATGATTTTAGAAGTAATGATCATTGTTATTAAAATATTGCCTGACTCGATCAATAATTATTAACTAAAATCAAATTATTTGATTAATATGACATTAGCTTTTTTTCAATAGCAATAGTACATATATATATCTGATTGTATTGATTTCTATGTTGACATTGTATATATGCACTGGTCTTTTTTAGTTAATTGTAGCATAATCAAAAGCGATTTTTTTCATAAACATAAAAATCAAGTTTTATATTACGAAAGAAATTGTTTTGTGAAACAAATCGTTCTTATATATCAAGTCACCTTTTCTATTTGTCTGGTGTTTTACTTAATGTATGTTTGCATCTATCTTGTTAGCGTAGGACTAAATGAATCGAGTCTCGATGAACTTTATTTGTTAGTATTGGAGAATAATGGGTTTTCGAGGTTCTTCATGCATCAAAGGCAACAAGCAAACAATGTGATAACGTTTAGGCTAATAAATCATGCTGATAACAAGACAATTCTTCGGTTTCGCAGAATATATTTCATAACAATTAATGTCGACATGCCAAGCAAGAGCATAGTAAATTTTGACATTCAGGAAATTAAAATTTTTGCATAGCATCATTTAATAAATGCTATAAGCTGAAGAAAACTGCTGCCAGAATCTAGAATAGCATTGATGATGTTAGGCTAAAACTCATCTTTACACGTTCAATTGAAGGAATACAACTCCTAATTTTCGGTTAGTTTGGATTGTAAGACTCATTTTATGATGACAGGTATATAGAATGTGAAATTGGGATGTTTGGGACCGCGACTACAAGAAAAAAATTGTTCCAACAGAAACTAAAGATTACAGTTAAAAATTCTATGGTTTTAAGCGATTTGTCTTCTAAATCATTAATCAAACAGAGGTGCGCGAATACAAGTACCATTTGTACTCTGACTACCATATGTACTGGGAAAAAGTTTAGAATCGGTGTGAATGTATTCTCATGTACCGGGTCGAAAAATCTAGAATTATTTGGTATGTACTCTCATGTACTATCGGGTGTGGGTGTTGGTCTCCGTCTCAGAGAATATCCGTATCCTACGCTCAAACTCACGCTCGATAGTACATACCAAGTAATTCTAAGTTTTTCGACCCAATACACAATAGTACATGAGAGTACATTCCCGCTGATTCTAAATTTATGGGAGTGATGTTGAGCTCAGAGTACATTTTGTACTTGTACTTGCGCAGCCCTCGTAGTCTATAGTTTGTTAGCTTTTCAAGTCAAATTTTGTTTGGGAAAATTTTAGAAGAAAAGAATCTTCTTAAGGTCTTTTCATCAGTCATTCATCCAATGTAGTAGAAACTGATATTTCCTACGAAAACATACAATTTTGACAGAAAAAAAAAACAGAAGTCCGCCTCCTCCATAGATATTGTCCACTAGAGCTTGTCGGGCTCGGAAACAATTAGACAGACTCTATTGCAGTGATGAATTTAGAGGGATACAGAAAGCAATTGCCCTCCTTCTAAAAACTTTGCCTCAATTTCTCTTAGCAGAAAGGACTTAAAATTCAGCTGGTATTATCTGTATCGAGTTTCAACATACATGTTATGGTTATGTTAGCTCCCATTATAGAAATCGTAGATCTGTCACTGCTCTACTATTCACTCTATTACATATAATTTACAATGAAGACGGCTTTATTTTTATGCTATGCAAGATTCTCTATGACTCTTTGATCATATAGTTTTAAAAAAAGGAAAAAAAACAATGATTTTCGTAAAATGTCATAATGACATAGTGCAATTAAACGAGTTTAAGAAACTAGATTTAAAAAAATCTTAAGTAAAAGTTTTAATGTCACATCAAATGATCAATCCACAGGTTTTGCCTGCTGTTCGTTACATTGTATTCAAACTTCTAAGTGAAATAACTTATTTTCTATAACTTGTAATGACAAAACGTAAAATACATTCAAAGATTTTGTTAACGTAATTTTTTTTAAGAATTTTATTTGCTAAGTATTTCACTTTTAGAATTATACTGATAACTCCCTGATATAATTTATATGAATAAAACTTACCCAGTAAAATCGCGATATGAATAAGCTAAGTAAATCATTTAAGATCATGGTAAGCAATAATGATGAAGAATAAATAAAAAAGCTAAAATTCTCCGATAATGATTAATATATTGCCAGTTGTTTGATTGGTTAAAACATTTCGCCAATAAAAAAATCTTCTATCGAGACTTTTCAAAGAGAAAATTTTGAAATTGGTTTTTTAACAAAAAAAGAAATTTGTTAAAAAATTTAAAATTATTTCATAATATCAATTCTTTATTTATGCTTATTTTTCTCTTTTATATCATAAAAGAAAATCAAAGAGAGGTACATGAAATGGAACAATGGTGACTGCTTGACAGAATTTATTAACAGCAAATCAATCAATCTCTATTTAGATAAAAAGTTTTTTTCTTATCAAATGTTTATCCAAAATAAATTCATTCATAAATAAAAAGAAAAATCATGTACGGAAAAAATAAAACTCTCAATGCTCCATCTGATATTCATGCGAAAGAAAAGTTCGTATTATAAATTTTCCTTTTTGTCTTTTCGAACAAGAGATTTTTCTTTTCTTCATAGATTAAATCTCTATGTTTATGAATATTTGTATCATATTGGTGCAGCAAAAGCTGCTCAGGGATTTTGTGCGGATGTAAGTTTCATTTTTGTTTTGTTTTATTTCAATTCAGAGTTTTGTGTATTTAAAATATAAAGATGAAATGGGAACCAAATAAAATGTCACTTGGTGAACCACCCGGATTTTTACTTAGTTGGTGGTGGTATGTAAAAACATTTGATTTAGAATAAGAGTTTATTTTTTGTTTTGTTGTAGTGTTTTTTGGGATTTATATAGTGCTGCACCAGAACGTCGAGATCAACATCCACATTCAGAAGAAGCTAAAGCTTTTCATGATTATGTAAGAAAAAAAAATTCTTCTTACATTTTAAATTAAAAGAAACAAAAAAAATTATTTTTAGGGATTTATTAATGCGAATGGCATGCCTCCTCAAGTATAAAACATCTTTTTTCTTCCGAAGATTGTTTTTTATTGTAGAAATTTTCTTCTATAGCCTAATACAAATCCGAATGGTCCACCACCAATGCCAATGAATGTAAATGAAGGAATGCATAATCCAAATGTTCCATTTTTTTCTGTAAGATAATTCTTTAAAAACTAAGTATGCTTAATTTTATTATTATATAGCCATCGGGACAACCAATGATGAATCAGGTATAATTATGAATTGATAGTTGAAGTTAAACAAAGAAATATTTTAGTATCCACGTTATCCAAATGCTCCACCACGCTCACTTGTTCGAATGCCACCACAACCTGATTATCCCGTAAAATAAAATACATTATGAGTTTTAGATTTAAGTTTATTTTAATATTTAGGGTGGACCAATTATGCCACCACAAATGGATAGTGGTCGAAACGGTATTTAGTTTATATTAAGAAAAAATTTTTTAAATATTTATTTGTAGGCCTACGAATGACATCTCCGGGTGCTCGAATGCCATCAAATCCAATCGGTCATCCGGGTCCTGGTGGATCATTACCAAATGCATATCGACCTCAAGTTATGTCACCATCAATCAATCAACCTGGACCAAGAATGCATATTACAAATTCACCAGGAGTAAATCTCGATTTAATAATCATTATTTTCATATTTATAGAATAAATTTAGGTTGGTTATTCTTCATCATCACCTGTTCCTTATGGAGTATGTATCTTTTGTCTATATGAAATTAAATTATTATTATTATTATTGTAGACTCCTTGTCCAACAGGTCATGCACCAACGACACCAACAATGATGCCAAGTCCACAAGGTTTGTATAAAGAAGAAGAATATATGCGTATTTTTCTTTTTCGTGTTATCTTCTATTTAGATTCAAATAGTGGAGAAATGCAACCATATGGTATGCGAAATATACCGACCGGTATGGGCCATGGACCAAATCCAATGGTAATATTATATTATAAAAAGTTTAACAACTAAATTTTTCTTATGAAACACGATTTAAAATGAATGTTGGAGTAAATGTCTTGCTTAGGGATATAACGGTGATAGTGCGCTGGTCTAAATATGTATGTATAAAATAACAGTAAAGACAGCGAATGCATGAGAAAAGTATAGTGGTCTTGGATTGATTTAGATTCTTTTGGTCGGAATGTCATTTCAAGAAACATACTGAAGTTTTTAGAACTCAAGGAATCCGAACACATAGAAGATTTGTTGAAATTCTCGAGTTTAATTTTTTCGAAATAGATTTCCATCGACCGAAAAGTTCGAAATGAATCTAAAATAACCGTCTTCATTGTTCTTCTACACGTGCATGTCTAGACCAGTGATCATCACTAGACTCGTTGTAATATTTAAATTACTTCCTTATTACATTTCTAAAAGATTAAATAAAATGAGAGTGATGAAATATATCGCAAAATAGATAGAATAAAAACAATCATCCTGTGATTAGCACAAGCAGCTATGTCATATTTCATAGTTTAATCCTGTAAAGATTACGCTAATAGCTATTTTGTTTCTTATTTCTAGTATCATGATCCACATCTAACGCATATGCCACCTGATATGACACATCATGGTTCCATAAATGGTATGCTAGATTTTTCGTTTTATTAAATTATGAAAATAATTTTTGAACAAGACTTTATAGGTGATTATGACCAACAAATGAAACAATCACCTAATCAACAATCACAAACTCAGCCACCACCACCACCTGATGTGGCAAATTATAATTATTCAGAAGATCCTAGCAATGATACAAATGCTATATTAAAACTAAAAGAATCCATGCAAGAAGAAGTTAAAAAATTTGATAAAACACCTAATAGTTCACATAATGACGATTATAATCATTTTGGTTCAACTGGTTAAATATAAAATCCGCACACACATATACATTTTCTGATAAAGAAAAATCTCATTTCGCTTATTTAGTTTATATTTGTTCGGTCTCTTTTCTTTCTGGTTCTTTTTAGTGTGAAACTATTTTGTGTGTACGTCTTTGTTCGTTTCTTTTTCTTTTTTTTACTATGTAGAATATTCTTCATGTGTGTGTGCGGGCAATAACAGTGATACTGAAGAAGAAAGAAGAATTTCGTCGTTTTTTCCGTTTCCATGAAAAAAAAGAGAGAAGAGTTATACACGACGAGTCTTCCAAAGAATATAACAACATGTTGGTTTAAATTTCAATAGCAACAAAAAAAATAATAATATTAATAAAAGAAAATGCATCTTTATATGTGTGTCCTTTCTATATGATGTACATTTATTTCTCTATTTGTGTGTATGTATAAGCGAATTTGTCTTCTTCTATATATCCTTAAATATACATATTTCAAGAAAAAGATCATTTATGTATTATTGTTATTTAATGAAATAGAGGTAGATAAATTAAATATTTATTTGACAAGAAGAAATGAAATTTTTTTAAATCATCTCCTAAAATTGATAAAATTTTATTTTCATTGATTAAATATATTTCATCTGTTTTCTCTGAATAAGGATTCTTTTTGTTGTAATTTTCGGTAGAAGTCAAGAATAAGAAGAAAAAGAACTCTGTTTAAATATATACATAATTTCTCAATAAATGAGTAATTATTAGAAATGTGCCGACCAAAAGGTTTTTAATCCCGATTTCGGTCTCATCCTATTAAACATGAACCAGTCCTGACTTACGAGAGAATCTTTTCACATGCCCTATTTCGATTTCAATTATTTTTTGCCTATAGATACGACATAGTTGTCTAATAAAAGTTTTAAAAAAATATCGGTTCCTACTGTGATTTAATTACTCCATCAAATTTTTAATATGTCTGTTTTCTACAGGTACCAGATTTTCGCAGAAATCGTATTTTCAAATTTTGATCTGAAATTTTGCGCGCATAGACTACTCACCTATAGACTAACTGCTATAAAAAAAATTTACAAGTACTGAACAAAGTCTCTTCGATATATGAAAGTTTCAAAAAAAATGTACTACCCATGTGAAAGGATCTATATGTTGAAAACTTCTAAATGTTTTTATGCAAGTTACTCTAGTTGAGTTTTCTATATGCATCGAGAGTTTAGTCATATTCTTTTAAATTTTTTATTAGAATATGATGTAGTATCTATTGGCATAAAATCAATGAAATTAAAAGAAAATAACAGAAAAGTTATGTGCGAATTTATTCACATTAAATTGAAAATACCTCTTAAATACGAGTGTTTAGACTAATTCAACCGATGAATGATATTGTATTTTTTGTTTTGGTCATCTCTCCTGAATTTTACTTTTATTTGTGATATTTATAACATGATTCACTAAAATATTTTGGTGAAATTTAGGTACAATTTTTTGTTTCAGTTCGAACAAATTTTATTTAATATTTATTTTAAATACATATATATATATATGATATTGTCTTGTTTAAGATTTTCTGATGATAATTATTCGACAGCAACAATGATTTTTTGATTAATGATATAATCATGATAGATATGCTGATTTATTTCGTGTTATTTGTTATCGAAAACATTAGACAAAATTGAAATTCTTGAATTGATTTTCACGATGATGTAGTTTCTTTATTGTATGGATCAATAATGGTGACTAGTGAAAGTCATATTGTTTTTTAACTAAAATTTTATGAATACATTACTAACGGTAGAGCATGTTTTTACTATCATTGTGTTTGCATATGTTAATCAGATTTTTCTTTTCGTCATTAACAGAGAATAAGCATTTTGATTTGCTAGTGTTGCAATGATTGAAGCATTTTATGGGAAATGAATATTTAGTTTTGATCAATCAAATGAATAAAACAATGAAGAAGGTTGTTTACCGATATATTGTTGTTTGTTTTTCTTTTTTCCTGTTCTTTTGTATCGGGATTTATTTTGTACAAAAAAAAGTGCTATGCATCACTTAATTTCGTTTTCTTTTTCTTTTATTATTAACTGAAAACAAAAATCAAGATTGAAATAGTCAAAATAAGTAGTATTTGTTTTGTTAAGCTAACGGATTAATGGATTGAATTTCATTAAGAATAAAAATAAAAGAACTATGATAGTTTCCTATATTTATTATTTTTTAGAACATGAATGACAAATTAGATCAACAATATTTTGATGTTAATTTTGATTTTCATCAAAATAAATATGAACCAATTAAAAATATTGGTATGCTCTTTTTTTTAATTTTTGATATCTCTAATTTTTTTGTGTTTTAATTATAAATATGATAATATTGTTTTTCTAAAGGTAATGGTGCATATGGTGTAGTATGTCTTGCACGTCATCGTAAAACAGGAACTAATGTAGCAATTAAAAAAATAGTTAATGTATTTGATCATTTTCTTATCGGTATGAGAACATATCGTGAAATAAAAATCTTACGTCATCTTATTAATCATGAAAATATTATAACTATTCGAGATGTTTTTCTTGGTTCAAATAATAATAAAGATGTTTATATTGTATTTGATTATATGGATACTGATTTAAAACGTGTACTGGAATCGAATCAAACATTGACTAATGATCATATTAAATATTTTTGTTATCAAATTTTAAATGGTCTCGCTTTTATTCATCAATCTGGAATAGTAAGATTAAATAGATGATTAAAAATAATTTTGTTTTCTTTTTTTTTAATAAAATCATTTATTTAGATTCATCGTGATCTTAAACCGTCAAATATTCTTCTTAGTCAAACATGTAATCTCAAAATAGCTGATTTTGGTAAGAAAGATTTGTTCGTTCATTAAAAAATAATTTAAAAAAAAAAAAAAAAGGTATGGCTCGACAATACCGTGATCATGATCAAACACAATATGTTGTAACACGTTGGTATCGAGCACCTGAAGTTATTCTTGGTTATACTGAATATTCTCAAGCAATTGATCTATGGTCCGTCGGTTGTATTTTAGCTGAAATGTTTGGACGAAAACCAATATTTTCTGGTAAACATTCGAGTTGTTTTTTATTTTATTTTAATAAATATTTATTGAATGTATAGGTACGAATACTATTGCACAAATTCAATTAATTTTTATTATTCTTGGTACACCATCAAAATCTTATTTATTTTCACTTCATAGTGACTGTTTTCGACGATTAATTTTAAGTATGTATGATAAAGAATGGTGACAAAAAATAAATATGTATGATGTATTAGGTGTTGGCAATCGTCAACCAGCTAATTTTAAAGCACTTTATCCGAATGCAACGGATGAGGGAATTGATTTATTACGTCAATTATTAGTCGTTGATCCTGATCAAAGAATAAGTGCAACAGCAGCACTTAAACATAATTTTGTTAGTGAATTTCTAATTCAATTAGATGATAATGATGATTGTATGATAGACAATGATGTTGAAAAATTTGATTTTGGTTTTGAAAGTGAAGTTAGTTGAACATCTATTTTTTGTTGGTGTTCTTTTTTAAGAAAAAAAAATGCTTGTTATTTAGAAATGGACATTAAATCAATTACAGAAAGCTATTCATGAAGAAATTGATCATTTTCAATTTCGATCAACGAAGCAAAATAATGGTGAAGAATTAACAACAGATAGTGATCAAGTTTTTCCTCTTAATCAACCTATGGAAAATCATCATCAAGTTGTTATTGTTGATTTAACACCATCTACAACATCATCATCAACAACAACAAAACTTGAAATTGATACAACACGTTCACTTGAAAAAAAACGTAAACATCGACGTATGTTGTTTAGATGTAATTGTTAAAATAAATAAATGAATAAATATGAAATTTTACTAGGAAGAAAAAATGGTCATCATCATCATCACCACCACCATCATCATCATCATTCAAAGCGTTCTTGTTCAATGATTTACAATGACGAACAAACTGGTAGTGGTGATACTAATGACGAAGAGACTGTTCATTTTTCCTAAATAGTTTTTATAATAACTTTTTTTTAATTTACTCATGTATGATAATTATTGTTTTGCAAGTTTTCCAGCATTTTATAAACTTTTATTTATTTATTTATATAATCTCAGTCTCTATACACAAACACTTGAAATGTGTGTATACCCATTCTTATCTTCTTATATTCTTCTTGTGTTACTTTTTTTCGACAAGTGCATTACGAGAGCAAGCAGATAGCAAAAAAAAAGGAAAAAGAGTGAGAGAGTAAGTGAGCTTGTGTGCTTTTGATTTAGAGACAAATGATATAAACGACATTACACAATGGCACGGTCAATTATTCCTCAAACGCTGAATGGTGTGCGAACACCAATTGATGATACACTTCCAATGACATGTATTATTGAAAGTTCACAACTTGTTGAAGGATATGGGGTATTGAATAAAAGAAAATTATTTTCTATTTTTGATGATTTAATAAAAAACAAATTAGGTATATTCTATTCGAGTTACACGTGTTTCAAATGATCCATCGTGTTCATGGGTTGTTACAAAACGTTTTAGAGAATTTGATGATCTTAATAATATTTTAAAAGAATATGGTTTCGATTTTGAATTACCAAAGAAAAAACTTCTTGGTAGAACTGATCGAACATTTATGGCTGAAAGACAAAAAGGTCTTCAAGTATGTTATGAAAATTGTTTTTTTTTTTCTTCTTTTATATTAAATTTATTTAGACATATCTTGATACACTTGCTCAACAATTAGAGCTTTGTAATTCATTAGTAATACAACGCTTTCTTGATCCAGAAAATCATACCATCAATTATTCAGGTATCTATATAGAAAAATTATTCTCAAGATATATTTTAAGTTTCCCTTTTTTTTTTCAATATTTTAGAATTAGCATTACAACATGTATCAATGTTTATTCGTTCAACGAATAATATATATCAAATTGTTGAACAACTTCCAGATTTTGGTAATGTTTTTTT